AAAAAAAAAGCGAAACGAAACTAAAATGTCTATACTTTTAGTGCCTTTATTTTCCTTTAAAAATTTCAAGCACAATGGCTCAAAAATATGTACATAGTGGTTTCCATTTTCTCTAACTACTTTAATATTAATTATTATCAGCATTATTAAAGAAGGTATTTCTTGAATTATCACTAATAATCATCCGAGTTTAGAATATATTAAAGATAATAAAATCTATTGCGACTTTTGATTTCCAGGATCTTTTCCCCTTTCTAAACTAAAAGACTTTTTTAGAATAATTACTATAATTTTAAAAATATCCTTCATTGTGATTTTGATCATTGGAAAATTCTAATTAATTTTTGTCTTTTTAATAACTACCTTTGCAATGTATAGAGTTTTTATTCAAATTGATGGACTACCACAAGGACCTAATTTTTCATCTCTCCTAGCTAACTTATTTTGGCACTATTATGAGGAAAAAAATCATGCTCTTAATATTAAACATGTTTTTAAATTTATTGCTCAGCCTTTCATCCCTTCAGTGGGTCGATAAATGGGTACCAAGCATGCTCGACTGACCACCTAACCGGAACATCTGTTCCTGCACCCCAGAGCCCAAGGTCAAGTTAACTGAGATGGGCACAGTAGACTTTGGCCCTCTATGGGCTGTCGCGCTACTGAGTTTAGTTTTTAGTTTAGATTTATTGATGATTTAATTATCTTAAATTTTCAAGGTTACACAATTATTAATCTTGTTTTGTAATCAAGATGATAATATTAATTATAATTTGTTGATTTAACGATAACTGCTTTGTTGATTTAAACGATAAAAGAAGTGATTTTAATTCTAATATAAATAAACTAATTACTTTAGAATTCTAATGTTTCTAAAATGCTTCTAATGTTTAGAATTATAATCTCATACCTGCCAACTTTTAATCCTTTGGAGGAGGATTTTTCCTTGTGGTAGTAAAATGGAATTTAAATTACATTTTTATTCAGAAACATACGCTGTATTTTAAAACAGCTTATCCAGACTATCATGACAGTATTAAATATTATTATCTGTCTTTATTTCTTTTAAAAAATAGTGGTGGTTAAAAAGATTTAAAATTATGTTTATAAATGCAAGGAATATATAGAAAACTTACATTTTACTACCACTTTAAATATAGAAATCAAATTTTACGCCAAATGCGTAAAAGTTGGCAGGTATGCAATCTATCTATTTAAATCTATTTTTAATTAAATGAATAGAATTAAATAGAACATAAAATAATGTTTATTTATCCAAAAAAAAAATAGGCAAACTCTTTAAAAATTTGATAAAAAACAATGGATACTCAACTGAAGTAATAAAATTCAATGTGAAATCATTGATTTAATTGTATGTTATTATAAATAAGTTTATTAAAAACTTCTTGGTTAATTTATATAATTTCTACCATGTGCAAATGCATTTCTGGCAATTCCGTGTCTAAAAATATGTGCAAAAGGGCAATTCATGTTTCTTTCTCTCTTTTTTCCCCCTCTTAAATAAATGTTATTTTTCTAAAATCATTGAAATTGTGTAATTAAATATCAACTTTATTAATTATGAGCTTATCCAGTATAATATCACTTTGCGCATATCCATTTTCGAGCAAATCCTTGGTAACTAACAAATCAAACCCGCTTCAGTACTGTATTACACACACATATATATATGCTGATGTGTATAGATATAATAGATATGTGTTGAACAATAGAGAATAATAAAAATATTTTAAGAAGGGCGCCGATAGGGAGGATTGCCATAGACGCCGATAGGGAGGATTGCCATAGGCGCCATTTTCTCTAGATACGCCTGCTCAACTCTATTTCTTTTATTTGATTTTTGTAAATTGTTATGATAAATAAT